AGTTAGGCAGTTAGGCCTCGCACCTGGCCAGTGATGAGCGCAGCCTCTCCTGTGCATCACGCGCTGCCTTCGCCTCGTCCTCGTCGTAGCGATTGCAATTGTACCAGGACGAGCCGTGCGGCTCCCAGGGGCCGAGGCACACCCAGCAGAAGTCGTGCTTGCAATTTTGATTCTTGCAAACCATGTGATTGCAGCCGCCATCCTTCTCGATGGTGACACTGCATCTGGGACATTCTTTGGTATTGGCCGCAATCCAGTTGGACGTCTCCGAGTCGTCGTCACACTTCTTGATCCACTTCTTTAGCCAGCGGCACTGCACCGGATCGTGCCAATTCTCGCCGCAGGCGAAACAAAACACATGGCCGCATTTGCAATGGACGCGACGCGACTCCGCATACGGCACTTTCACCGCATAGGTGCAATCGACGGACGGACACCAGCGCAACAGCTGATTGCACTCGACGAAGCTATTGGTGATTAGCTGCTGGTATTTGACCCTCACCCGCGCATCGGGCACCAACTTGGTGACCGTCACATCATCCACCAATATATCACAGCCGTGCGCGGCGCACGATATCGTCTGGCCCAAGCCTTCTGTAACGATTTTCGTTGTCAGATACTCACGCCAGCAGTTCAGACAAAAACGATGACCGCACTCCAAGCCGGTCATGGACTGCAAAGAAATTCGAATTTGATGAAATACGAAATTTGATTATGATTTTCTTTTTTCTATGAAGCGGTTCACTCACATCTGGCGGCAACAGAGAGAAACAAATCTCGCACTCCTCTAACTGGCTACGTAAAGTCTGCAAAACAAAGGCACAGCGATAGAGAGAGAGAGAGAGAGAGAGAGAGAGAGAGAGACAGGAAGAGAGCGCATGAGTTTAGGGCAAGTCAGATATATCAATATGAACATGCGATGCATACCCTTTGCTGCACTGCCTCGGGTAGCTTGTTAAACGGATTGATGACGTGCGCGCACTTGAAGAACTCCGTATTATCGTCGCTGCTATCGAAATACTTCTCCAACAGCTTCTCCTTGTCCCACTTAAAGTGATTCAGCAGTATTCGTGTTATGTGCGCAGATAGCTGTAAGCAGAAACAAAGCGCATTGCGGAACCACAATGCAATCGTATTTAGTAAATATGCACTCATATAGATGATTCACATTAATAATATATTGCCTATATATTGCAACAGGTCTAGTCTGACCAGATGTCAACTCTGAATTAAATGCAATTCAGGTATTTCGAAAGGAAATGATCTAAAGATACCTAACTAAAGCAATAAAGATGTTTGCAAAGCGGAAAAGTCGTTTGTCAATGATCCAATTGAAAATTATATTGACTAACTTATCTTGTTGACTGAATATATAGAGATGTGAAAAGAAAAGACGACCATTATAGCCGGATTTCCCCATTTACAATAGGTTCAGGGTTTTAAATAATCTGAATATGTGTCAATTATTCTATGAAAAGTGATACCCAAGTATAGACGGATACCTGTTGAGTATCCAACTGGTTTTCCCAGTGATCCAATTGGATCACTAAAAGGTTATGTCAATTATAAATATGAAAATGAAACCAACTAAACAATTCAAGATATCTGCTAAGTAGCCAACTGGATTGTCCGCGAAGTTCCAATTGAAATTCTTATTGGGAGACAATAGGCCTTGGCAAAGTCTGTTAATATGAGCAATAGCTAATCATAGTTCAAATGAGGAATTGCTGATACAGTGCTGCATGGCACAAGTCTTGCCAAATCTCTCATGAAAGAGTCGACGCCACTCGACTAGACGCGTTCGTTCAAGCGAACTTTCACTGTATGCGCACACAAGTGATATCGAGTCAACGGCACTTTCAGCTAATGCAAATGCAAATGTCATCAAACTGTGCTGACCTTCAATTTGGCTAAGATGAACCACGCACGCACACATACACACGCGCACACACGCACGCATACACACACACACAGAGAGATAGCTGCCGCTATCTTTACTGTCTTGAGGTGTGCCCCTTTCTTATCAGACAAACGATAAACGACGCCAGCGTCTTATTGGATCATGTTGCCATTTGTTGTTTGTTTGCTATTAGCTGCAAATGCCATTCACTGTATAACAGTACAAGTGCATACATGCAAATCAAGCGAGCGAGAGAGAGTGAGAGAGACGAAGGGGATTTATTTAGACATTTGCGTGTGTGACTTACCTTTACCACTCGATTAACTTCATCGATTGTCTCGCGCTGGAACAGCACTATCTCATCTATGGTTAGCACCTTGTATTGGTAGTCATCCGTTTCCAATTGCCGCTCCGTCGAGCTGGGCATGTCCACCTCCATGGCGAAGTCGTCGTCATCATCGCCCGATGAGACATTGCCCGAGTCCACGTTGTCCAAGAAATCGTTATCGTTATCCGAGTCCATGGCTGTGGGTGTGTTTTGTTTGTCTTTTGCGTTTGCCTTTTGCCTTTTGTGATTTTGTGATTTTGCTTTGGTTTTGGTTTTTGCTCTTGCTTTTCCTTATGTTAAGGATTGCAGCCTTGGATTGATTGCCTGCTCTGTCCTTTGGCCACTTTTGGGGCTGCCTACCTGCCTTGAAGCGGATGCTTTCCAATTTTTGTTGCTGTTGTTGTTGTTTTTATTACTTTATTTGTTTCCCTTTTCTCGTTTCAAGTTAGGCGCGTTGCGTTTTTCCCCTTGGATTTAGCCAGTTACTGCGTATTTTTCACTATTTAAGATACATATCAAATGTTAAATACGTTATTTACAGTGCATACATAAGCAGGTGCACACACACACACACTCGCACATACACACTGAGAGAGAGACAGAGAGAGAGAGAGAGGAGAGTGAGATGCGAACATAACCATTACATAGACACTTGACCTTCTGTTGTTGCTGGGCAGCTGAGCTGGAAGCAAATCACCTGCTCTCAAATAAATGTTTTTAAGCGTTGCTGTTGTTATTATTATTATTGCACACATACGCACACTCGCATACACATAGGCAACCAAACGCTCATGCACACACACACACACACACGAGTGAATTTGGAATTTGTTTAATTTTATGTAATTTTATGCACAGCCACAGACACAAACGCGCGCGCACTCACACGACTGTATGTATGTATGTGCGGTCGAACAGCTGTGCAAATAATGCAATTACAGCTGTTAATGCAAATTTGATGTGAGCCAGCCAACAGAGCACTGTTAACTAACAGCGCAGTTCCAATTAGATCGAACTAGTTCTAAGCTCTTGTTTATGCACCTGCTAGCTTCTGTACCGTTGTTGTTGTTGCAGCTGCTGTTGTTGTTTTGCTCTTATTGTTGTTATGCAGCGCATTTGGCAAACATTCGGAACACTTTTTTTTTCTCACTTTTGTGTAATTAACTATTATGTATGAATTGCGATGTTCTGTCCAAATCTTTATATCTCTTCTTTTGTTTTCTCTTTGTCAATGTGTAAATGCAATCTATTTATTTTCATGTCATGCAAGTACTGCAAAATTAACACGCCATACACAAAAATAAAGAAAACAAAAATAAAAGAGTCCCAGTAAGACTACAGCGCTGCATAGCAGCAAAGGCCACAATGGACTCAACACAATCCACAGGCCACATATACAGACATATATATTATATATATACACACACTCGCAAATACTCTTTGGGAGCCTAACAAAACACATCTATGTGTGTGTTTTTACTTATGTGTATGTATGTACTTACACACTTATACATGCATGTATATATGCATGTACGTCAGTGTCTTGCTGTTCCAATTGGACCACAGTGCGTTTTCAATCAAAATGTTGCGGGCTTTTCTCGTTTTCTTGAAATTTGGTTTTTGTTAGTGACAAACAAAAAGGAATGGGAATACAACGCACTTGCTGCTGCACACAGCTACAGAATTTATACACAATTATGTGTACATACATACAGTATGTAGTTCATACACACGTATGACACAAAATCAAGGCAACACACATACGCAGACACATCTGTATACATAGACACAAACACTCACAACACATACACATCAGCTGCAGCAGCTCAATTTCCAGTTGGCCTTTACTCGCTGCCCCAGAGCCCGTTCGATTTGACACTCTTCTGCATTATTTTAGATATTTTTTGTGTACTTTTAATTACTTTTAATGCTAATTGCAACAATATTGCGACGCGACGCGATTTTCACGCAGAAGCAACATCTGGCATCTCTACACGACACGAAATATCGATAGTAGTCTATAGATAATCGAGATGGCACTCGAATCGTCTGACCGCCACAACATAGCTGATTCTGCGCCTAGACATTAATGCCTTACTGGTTAGTGTCTCCGCTGAGTTCCGAAAGCACGCATAGTTGGGACACGAAATGCGTGAGTCATTAATAATTTGCAGCCAACTTCACGCCTTGTCTGATACGACCACAATCAGCTTAACGTGTTTTTTTGAAAATGGACGATTTCAAAATGGCGGCCACTTAAGCTCAAAACAAAGGAGCAAGAAAACTGATGCTCAAAATATATTTTATGCATTTAAACGTAATTGCGTTTGCTTTCAAGCGTTTATAGTACAGTTGTCAATAGCATTTAATATAGATATTCAGTCCTCATCGCGTTTCATGAAAGGGAAAGAGATAGCAATATATCGATCTCGCTCGGAAGCATTAATGCGAGAGAGAAAGAATTCTATATGATGCCGACTTCTCTTTCGCACCCACTTGCAAGTTAAAAATAAATACAGTCGAAATTTTTCTATTAAAAAATATATATATTTATTTTTTTTTTTCATTGTTAAGGCGCGTATAACGTTACAATTTCCTACATTTTACATTTATTTTCTCGGCTCGTAAAACGTTACGTTTTTATTTATTTACAATTTGTATTTTTTTTATTTTTTTTTTTTTGTTGCAACATTTTACATGCCTTTAAAAATAATTTTTGTTGTTGTTTTTTTTTTTTTTTCATTTCGGCTTGTATAACGTTACACAACTTTTATTTATATTGATTGTTCTTATATATATATTTTTATTGTTTTGTTCATCTAAAATTGTTTTTTTTTTTTTTATCCCGCTCTATTTCGTGTTACGGCGCGGATAACGTCTAGCTACCCGAGTCGAACACATACGCCTTTCAAACGATCGATTTTAATATAAATATTTTTTTCTGATTGATCGTTTAAAACTCGTATAACGTTTAACAGTTTTTTTTTTTTTTAATTTGAAATTTTGTTTCGAAAATCGGTTTGGGCACAATTCTAATCGCGCCTAAACCGATTTCTAAAACTTAAACTCTAAAGTTTTCTTTTTACCCATCCGATGGCCATCTTAGTTAACTGCAAAAGAACAAAAGAAAATAAAATACATTGATTGATATATACATTACTCAATTGCAACGTGTCCACGAAGCATCTCCTCCACACACATATACACACACACACACACACACTTAGTCAAAGAGCGAGAAAGAGGCGCTATCCTGTCTTCCCTTTCTTTTGGTATTTTAAAGATTCCATTTCAAGCACTTACTCGCAGTTAACTGCAGTTTGCACTTTTTGATTTTAAGGAAACTGTAATTCAAAGCTAAATTCATTAATAGGTCGTCCTCCATTTTCTACTCACACACACACACACTCGTACATCGCGTGATGCATGCGCGCGTGTGTATGCGTTTTAGAAACTTGACAACTTACCAATTGATTTCTGACTGTACCGCGCAAAAGAAACTAGAATATGATGATAAAATTAGTCCCTATTAATTTTAGATTTTAAGTTCACTTAAGCTTTCAGCAAAAACTAGATTTAAACAACAAAAACTGCGGAAAATATAGCAATTTAGACTTATTGACTTTGTAATAAATAATTTGCTCTTGTGTGTCTCTGTGTGTGTGTGTGTATATTTGTGTTTTTGTGTAACACAAGGAGGGTGTACAAAATAATATAAAGCTTATAAAAAAAAAATGTATGTCTTTTCTTGCCTATTACTCCTAACTATCTGATGCAAGAACATGGCTGCTGCCGCTAGTCATTGTGTGGAAATTGGATTTTGCCAACAGCATCGATATATCGATAACACCGATCGCGGAAACACGATGTATCGTAAATTGACATTTGTTCTGTTTAATTAATTTTTTAATTTTATTATTATTATTATTCAAATGGGTATTAATCTTTAGGAATTGGGAAAAAGTTATTCTTTTAATATAATCAATTAAAAGGCTTAAGCATACAATTACCATACCATATTTTTTTAATTTGTATTCATTGACGTCTCTTCCTTCGTCCATTAGATTTGTATTTGCTGTCACTGTAAGGCACGTTGCAGCTATTTGCCTTGAATGGTAGCCATCTATAAAATATTACATTTATTTGTGGTTTAATTTAATTTCAAAATATTTGCTAAAATTGTAAGCGTTGCCATACCATACATTTTTTTATTTGCACCTAATATAACAGTCGGTTTCGCGCTTAGCTAATAAAAATCAGTATAACAGCTGGGCTGGTGCATTCGCTTTACAAGCACCAATGCTGATTGGTTCGAACATTGGAAAAAAGAATCGATACATTAGTAGCTAAGGTCACTAGCTGATTGGGCTTTCCCAAATTTTTGCAGCCCGAACTTAAAAGTAAAAGGCCGAGTAAATACGACGTTGTCAGGGGTTCATTAATTCCGCCTTAGGATTATTCCTTGTATCCACTAATTCTCCGTTTTATTTGCAGTACCTAAGGGATGTCAAAATAAATAAGGATATAAAAGACCTATAATTTTCTCTTTGTTTCATAAAAACACAAATATATCAAGATTCTCTTGCTAATACATGCCATTTGTATGCGTAGAAACCAAAAGAGGAAGAGAAAAGGCTGATGCTCGATACTCTTTCTTTTTATTAGTTGGATATTATGTATATAAAAAGCAAAGGTACATGCATTTAAAACTTTGAAATGAAACATATTGCGCCAAAAAAAAAAAATACTGCGACTGAATTACTTTTCATCGATAGTGCACACAGCTGTCTTTTGTTCATCTCGAATAGGTATCGCTGCCGCACGATTGTGCCGCGAGTTCGTTATCGGGAGCTGTAAACTGCCTTTATTTAATAAGCTGCAATACAAAGTTAATCTCTATAATATATGTATTTATCTTGTTGTGTTTATAATTAGCATAACAAACAACATTGTAGATTTATTAAGATCTTCCTCCTTAATTGGATAGCTAGCAAAGCATTAGCCAAATACTTATCATTTTTAAAAAGTCCAGTTCTGTGTGGTTTTTGCGCATCGATGTGGTGCCAATTTAGCAAGTCGATAAATTGATATCTGAAGAGGCCATCGCTAAATCAAAACCAAACAATTGATAATACATTAATTGGTTAAATTTATGTTGAAAACGCCGCAATATGATCTGTCGCTTGTGTTTAAAAAACATAAACGCAAACAATGCCGTCTATCTGTTCGAAACCAACGACACCCTAGCCGAGTCCTCCCTGCTCAAGATGATTGCCAAGTTTCTGCAGCTCGAGGTGAGTTTTCACTGTGCCAATTAAGCAATGAAATGAATCGGGGTTTGTCCATGCATTGCAGATAATGCCCGATGACAACATCTCGACGAGCATCTGTCATGAATGCTGCGAGCATTTGGAGGATTTCAACAACTTCTGGCAGCTGGTGGAGCAAAAACAGGGAACACTTAAAAAGGAGTTCCTGAACGTGGACGTCGACTGTGTCGCCCTCAAATGGACGGGCATCGATGTCGATGTCAACATTGACGAGTTCCCACTAGTGGCCGACGAGATGGACGAGAAGCCATTGGATATACACAATCTGAAACTGCTTGGCAGTGTGCTTGATATTAATGTGGACACCGTGGAGTTGCCCCCACTTGCGTCTGACCCAAAACCAGAGCAGTTCCAGTCCGAAAAGTTTTTACAGCTACACGCAACAGATCCCAGCGATGGCGATGGCGATGACGATGCCAACGGCAACAACGGCAATCAAACACACGCCACGGATGAGAAGCCTGTGATGCATGAAATCAGCGAAAGCGTGCGAAATGCATCCACCGATGACGATGATGGTGAGTGACGACCACCGAAAATGAAGAAATAATAATTATTATAATAATAATGGTAAATACATCAACTCAATATTGCTTGCATGCAACTTGCAGACGAAGTGCCCCTGGTCAGGCTACAGCATAAACTCAAGCCGAAACGCAGAGCACAACGCGCCATAACGAGGCGCAACAACAAGCGAACGCTTACGCTAGCCCAGGAGCTGGATCAGCTGCTGGATGATAGCGGCATCGATGGCAGCAGAGCGCGACGGAAAAAATCGGCAAACAGTGAACCAACAGATGTGCAAGAGAACGAACTGCAGGCGGCGCTCGAGCGGAAGCCGAAGGGCTGCTCGCGCGCTCAGCTGACGAAGCGCTACGAGGAGGCGATAGCCAGCTATATGAGCGCCGACTGTGACCTGTGCGACTACAGCACCAAGTACCTGTCCCAGCTTAAGGTCCACTTCATGGAGGCACATCAGCGCGACGCGTATTTGAAGTGCTGCAACAAGGTGTTCAATCGTGCCTCCAAGCTAATGGATCACATACGCAAACACATCAATCCCAAGCTCTTCACGTAACGCTCGATTCGTTTGGGTTGTGGCGTCAATAGCCATTAATAGCCAATTTACTCTTGCAGCTGTTCCATATGCAATAAGTCGCTCAACTCACAGGACTACCTGGCCACGCACATTGAGACGGTGCACAACAAAGTGGCCCAGATCGGCAAGGTGCTGAAGTATCCCTGTCCGAAGTGTGAGCGCACCTTTAGCAGCGAGCGGCGCCTCGGGAATCATCTGCTCAAGCACGACACGGACCAGTTGGAGCACAGCTGTCACATATGCCACAAGAGGTGAGTGCACAATACGATACGATGTTACCTCTTGCTCTACCACATGCTCCCTCTCTCTCTCTCTCTCTCTCGCTATCTCTCCCTTTCTCAGCTTTGCGAATGTGCACAGACTGCGACGGCATATACAGTCCATACACGAAGACCTGCATCCGCATGTCTGTGATAAATGCGGCAAAAAGTTCAAGTTTAAGCCCTCCTTCGAACGGCATCTGCAGGAGCACCAGGGATTCGTGGCCCCGGCCATGCAGTGCCCCATCTGTGGTGTCTGGCTGAAGAACGAGCATAGCCTGCGGCTGCATCGGTTCACGCACGACAGCACCGACACCACATGCAAGCACTGCTCCAAGACGTGCAGCTCCCGGACAGCGCTACGTGCCCACATCAAATACGCCCACAAGCTGACCACAAATCTGCAGTGCACGTACTGCGAGAAGAGCTTCAAGCAGCAGCGCAACCTTGAGGAGCACATGGCCATCCATACCGGCCTGCAGCTCTACAATTGCCCCCATTGCCCCAAGGAGTGCCGCAGCCGTTCCAATATGTATGTCCACATCAAGCAGCGGCATGAGGACGAGTGGCGCAAGGCGAAGATGGCCCGCTCCCACAACCCACAATTAAAGCCACCGCACGTGTAGTTAGTTGGACTGTAGCTATATTGTGTATATCCATTTGACAAGGAATTTACATTAAATGCGTATATCTGGAATCGTGTGTGTTTGTGTGTGAGCTATGCTATGCGCGTATGTGTGTTATGCGCGTGTCCTTGCGCATGTTACTAATAATTAGGCAGCAGCTCACCCAGCGTTGTGATCAGGCGTGTGGACAACGTGTCTGGAAAGATGATGTTAAAGTTCACCAAGAGCGCACCTCGGCGTGTCGAATCCTTTGGAAAGGGTAGGCCGCGGTCAGCGAAACGCTTAATGGTGGCTGGCTTTATGATTTCGCCGTTGGTGCACAACGGGAATGGAGATCCCTGCAGTGTGGGCACCTGGATGGTGGTGCCGCACAACGCCTGCTTCAGGGAAATTTTGGCAGTGTATTGGATGTCGCTGCCCTCACGCTGGAACACTGGATGCGGCTTGTCGCGTATGATGAACACTATGTCGGCCGGTATGCGGTTGGGTACCTCGTCGCCCTCCTTGGAGAATGTAATCTTGGTGCCAGCCTTCCAGCCAGGCTTGATCTCAATGTCCAGCAATTTGACCTCTTTGCGCGACTGGCCATGGTGCATTCTCATGCGCGAGATTTGCATTTTCTTGTTGCAACCAGTGTTGATGTCCTCTAGGGCCACATACAGCTCATGCTCAATGGGCGGATCCTGTTCGGGACGTGTCTGAAAGAGACCAGCATTGCCCCAAACGCTGCGCGGACTGTTCTCATCCGTCATGAAGGTATGCTCAAGGTTATCGCCAAAAAATATGTTGAATGGATCGCTCGATCCAAAGAACTGGGCAAATGTAGCGCGTGGATCGCCATGGAACTGATAGGCGAAGGACGAGCCACCTTGGTTGCTGGGATGACCGGGTATTCCGTGCTTGAGGCCCTCCTCGCCATATTGATCATAGATGTCACGCTTCTTTTTATCAGAAAGCACTTCGTACGCCTCGGCCACCTCTTTGAAACGTTCTTCGGCCTTGGAGCTCTTGTTCTTGTCCGGATGGTACTTGAGCGCCAACTTTCTATATGCCTTCTTTATCTCGTCATCCTTAGCGTTGCGGCTAATCCCGAGCGTTTTATAAAAGTCCTTGCCCATCTTTGGTAATACAGTTTCAATAATCAGTTTACAGTGCTTTTTTTACACAAAGGTTTTTGACGTTTTCGACAAATAAAAAACAAACTGTTCACTGCTAATTTTGTGCTCTGACAATTTGAGAGTGCGCCTTAAATTAATCAAATTCGATTGTAGAGCTATCGATCATTTGTAACGAAGTTTGGCGTTGCCGTACTGCTGCAAATTGAAGCAAACAAATGCAACCCCAAGTCAATACATATTTATCCCCAAAAAGCAAGTTTTACTCCGCAGTTAACAGCGGTATCCCCACTTAACAGACTTGCTCCCCATTTTAACAGAATATATCCCCATTTAAAACATATCGTTCACCACTAGAATGCAACGCCGTAAGCGCAAGCTGGCAGCACTGTGTGCAAAAAATACATACGATTTAAACTAATGGTACAATTACGTATTACGTGAAAAGAACGCACCAAAAGTAATAATAAAGTAAATGCTTCACAAAATAGTGTTATAAATGCGAGCATATAAAGCGTGTGTGTGTGTTATATTCAAAGAATCCAAGAGGAAAAGTGAATCAAACTAGTTTCAGCACCTTGGATTTCGATTACATTTTTCATCTATACACTTGCAAAAAGCGACCAGAGCAGCAGCAGCCAGAGCATTGGAGAACGACGGTAGAGAGACAGAGAGCGCTAACAAGCGAGAACGTAGGAGAGCCAAAGCCAGACAGGCAGACAGACGGGCAGGCAGACAGCCAGCGCAACACAGCTAACAACAGCGGCCCAAACGCGTTGAATAGCGACGGCAAGAGACTAATAAAATTGATTTCGCCAATCGAAAAAGCAAACAAATTAAAAATCGTTTCCGCAACCGCGCTCTTTATTAAAAGAAGGGTCACTCTAACGTGTCGTGACTGAAAAACATTTGGTTATATTTTTTTTGCAAACGGCTGAGTAAGCGTAGAAGAGTGCAAAAAACGTACAAAAAGAAAGAAAAAAGGAGCCAAGGAGCAACGAACTGTGTGTGCGGTGTATGCTCTGAGTGTAAAAGGGTAAGCACTATATACATTTACGTTTCAATGCTTGATGTTTTTGTTATTGCTGCTGTATAGACCACATGCTCTTATTGTCTCACTCACACTCGTGCTGCATATAATGCTGCTGTTGCATTGTCGTTAGCGGTGGTGGCGGTGACAGCAGGTTTATCGTTTTTTTTTTTTTTTTTGTTTGCTTTTGCATTGGCAATGTTTAAAATATGTTATTAACACATCTGCAATAATAATTTGTATTATTGCTTGTACTGCATTGCGTTAGCATTACGTGTTAGGAAAAACGTTGTTTTAAAGGTATGGCTCGATAAATGGAGCGCATGTGGCAACGCTGTGCCACCGCTAGACACACACTCACACTCATAGTCGCATATAAACGTACTGCGAAAAGAATAGCGCTAGAAAGAAGAAGAAGAACCAGCGGCAAACTTCTTGCGCGGTGGATAAAGTGCAGCGAATTTTTATTGGTAAAATAAAGCAATTGGTGTCAAAATCTAATATCGAATAGATATCCATCGCAGTAACCTTAAAACACTGTAAATACGACAGAAAATGCAAGCAAACCTATAATTCATTCGTTCATACACAAACAGTTCTGCGAATGCGTGTACGTGTAAGTGTGCATGTGTGTGTGTAGTGAGTGCGAGCAAACGTGTGGCTGCATGTTCGCTATTAAACGGCACATTTTACTGTGCCTTTTGACGACTCGAGACTTAATAAGTGTGCTGCAAATGTCGTGTTTATTTGGCCAAGCTATGGAAATGTGTAGCTTATAATTAAGCTGGTGTGTAGCTTATTATAAACTACGGAAATAACAAAGCAAAGTGCGCGTGTGTCGCCCGATGCCCCTCTATTTCTCTCTTGATATATGTACATATATGTGTGTGTCTGTTAGTGCGTTTGTGTGAATGGTTTTTGTTGTTATAGGCCACTTTAAAAAATGTTTCCAAGCATTTTAGTTTTTTGATGTGCACCTGCTCAATCCCTTATTTTCTATAAAAATAGGAACAGCATAAATTGGCATAATTTGAGCAGTTTGCATATGCGATGCTTTTGTTTTCTCCTCTTTCCTTTTCAATTCTCTATTTTTTGATAGTGGTGCCAGGCTTCTCTGTGTCAGCCATTGTTCTTCTTCATTTATTACACGAAGACGCCACCGCCGCATACTTCTTGTGTCTTATGTGTTCTGTTATTGTATGTGTGGGTCGCGCCGTCGTGTGCTGTTGTCGTGTTGAAGGGCCGGGGCGGGGGCCCAGCATTTGAGCACAAGCACATACAACTCACAGAGAGAGGTATTCATTGCCATCTCGTTCGCACGCATGTTCGAATATAGGCTGAGCTCTATGCTTGACTCGCTCTTTATTTTATGGACATGGGGCGGCTGTGTAGCCCCCATGGAGGTGTGCATACATACAAACATACACGTATATACATATATATACACACACACGTTCACGTCAACACACGCATGCATGCATCAATGCGACCCGGCGGCCCACGTACCAAAACAAAAAAAAAAAAAAAAAAAAAAAACAATACACAAAAATTGCAACAAACAAATGAAGCGGCAGCAGCAGTTGCAGTTGCAGTAGCAACAGCAGCACCGGCAGCGGTAGCAGTACCAGCTTACAAAATGACACCCCCCACCCAATTACACACCCTCTTTTAGTGAGTCTCTCTCTTATTCGCTCTTGCTATTAGTCGTTTTACAGCTCACACAAGAAGACTGAGAACCAATACAGCAAACACAGAGAAGAATCGTGAAGAGAAACTACAAGGAAAGGCAACAACAAAACGTAAGGCGCCAAGGAGGCAACTAAACAGATCTCGACCTCCTCGAAATCGAAATCGAAATCGACATCCACATCGACATCGACATCGACATTAGCACAGTCCGACTTTCGAACGTCTGCAAATATCTGCATCCCATCTAAAGCGAATCGAGTGCGATTGGCGTGGAACGCGTGGCAGCAGTAGGCGGCAAAGGAAGCTAACGCTAATGAGGATCTATTGGCAGCATGAGTACACTGGGGGGAAGTAGGGGAGAGCGAAATGCCAAGCCCAAATTCACAGCGTTGGATATAAATCGCATGTACAAGAATAGCCGAGTAAGAATAAATATATAGAAGAAAGGCTTGTTTCACATGTCTGTCCTCACGGCTAACTTAATTGATTCCCTTCTCAATAAACCTCGATATGCAACCATTTCTTAACAATTTGCAGGGCGAATCGAGTGAACCATCTGCCCAAAAGAATCAAGTGCCGCGTAAACATGGAATGCAAATATTGGGAAAAGTGCCTTCAGCTAGGCGGCCACCGGCCAATCTGCCATCCCTAAAGGCCGAGACGAACATCAGCAGCAGCAGCGCCACCAACAGTGCGACGCCTTTGAGCAACAACAACACCAACAACAACAATCTCCTTGCATCTGTTGAAGGTAAGCGATTAGCTTCTTCTTTGAGAAGAATTGTTTAATGTTAAAAATACTTGTTTTTTTGTTTTGTTTTGTTTTTCACGCTGCGCTTTCAGGCAACAGCAGCAGTACGATCAGCAGCGGCTCAAACTCAGGAGGCGCGGGCGGAACAGCGATCAGTGCGGCGGCAAGTGGCGCAGGTGCAAACAGCGCTGGTCACAACAACATCGGTAGTGGACACAGTAGCGGCATCAGTGCAGCGGGAGGATCAGCTCTTGGCCACCACCACAATAACGCTAGCAAATACAACAACAACAACAGCAGCAGCAACAATAACAGCACCAGCAACAGTAACAGCCACAGCAGCAACAGCAATAACAATAAGAATTTGAAATTAATAAATAACTCGGCGACAAGCGGAGGTGCATCGGCCGGCAGCGGCGGAGCAGGTTCTGGTGGTGTTGCTGGAAGCGGCAGCGGCGGTCACGCGAATAACTCACCCAAGACATGGTCAGCGATAACGACAGGACACGAACGTGCAGGCGGCACCGGTGGCCATGGCGGGCATGGCGGCCATTATGGCAACCGTCATCACCAGCAGCAACAGCAGCAGGTGGTGCCGCACTATCAGAGTCCACAGTTTCAATACGAGTTCCCCACATTGATGGGCGGCAACGGTGGCGCTGCATCCTCAGGTGGTCATGCGGGCGCAGCCGGCGGCGGTGGCAAATCATCAAAGGACCAGCAGGCGCACTACCAGGGTCAGCAGCACGCACATCATCACCAGAATCATCATTATCAACAGCAGCAGCAACAGCAGCGAGATTATCGCGATCACCATGGCCATCATGGTCGTCAGTTTGGCGGACACGGCGGACACCACTTGCATCGAGGCAGTGCCACCAATGCGGATTCCGGCAGTTACAGAGATGGCAGCGACGACGTCGGCGGTGGTGGCGGCGGCGGCGGCGGCGGCAACAGCAGCAGCAGCGAACTCAGCGAGATGAGCCTGCGTCCCCAAAACGACCCAGCGGCTTGGCTGCAGCAGCAGGAGAAGGCCGCCAAGGAGCTGGCTTTGAACCAACAGGGCCAGGGCCACCAGATACCGGCCAATGGGAGCGGTGCGGGCGCCGGATCGGGCGGCAGTGTACCACTGCCCATACTCTCGCTAATGCCGTCATTCATGCGTAGCGGAGCACCGCTGCCCGCCTCCGGTATCGGAGGTGGGCCTACAATGGCAGCGGCTGTGGCAAATGCATCATCCAGCATTTCCACAGATCTGGCCTCGTCGGCGCCAGCGCCCTATCAAAATGGCATCACCGGCAACCGATCCGCCTCGCCTGCCATTCTCGGCAGTTTTCGTGCCGCGGCTGCGATACCGAAGCGTCCAGCCGCTGGCAATGCAGCGATGACGACGCCACCACCGTCAGGTACGATGGGAGGAAGTGGTGGCGCGACAACACCGCCGCAGCAGCAGCAGCTGCAGACGAACGGGCCCGGTGGCCGCAAGGACAAGGACAAGGACTATGTGGTAGAGCCTGAGGTGGCGCAAATGCAGCGTCCCATCATTAGGGAAGAGGATCTGGAGCGCCTAAATGCGATTGCGAAGGACGATAGCTGGACAAAACAGGATGAAATTGACTACACAAAGAAACTAACATTTTCGGATGATGAGGAGCATGCCAGTCTGGAGGATCAGCACCACAACAACAGCAGCAGCAGCAATAACAGCCACAATAAGCAGCAGCAGCAGTCAGTCCAGTCCAGCAGCAGCAGCAGCGATCAGCGCAAGTCGTCGGGCAGCAGCTCGTGGCAGCGCGGCAAGGACAGCAGCGAGCGGGACTTGGATGGCCCAGCGGATCAGGGTCCGGGTCAGGGTCAGGAGCAACGGCAGCAGAACGGCCACCGAAGCAGTGCGGGCAATGTGGTCGTTGGTAGCGGTGGCATTGCTCTCGATGCCGGCGTCTATGAGCGTGTTAAGCAGCGCAAGGAGGAGGAGGAGCGTCGCCAGATGGAACGCAAGCAGGCGGCAGCAAAGAAGCTGCAGGAGCTTGAGATGAAGATGAACAGCAAGAAGGCGCTCAGCGAGAACAGCGGTGGCACCCCGGCCACTGCCAGCAGTGAGGCACCAGCCGTGCCCCTGGCCAATGTCAGCGAGGACGAGGGCGGGGGTGCTGGACAGCAGCAACAGATGCAGCAGCAGCGGCGTCCGCGTGGCAGCATCTCCAGCATGGGCAGCGGCGGTGGCAATGGCTCCGCCTCGGCTCCAATTGCGGCATCTGCAGCCGCCGGCGATTATGGCCAAAAGCCCGTCTTCATGACGCATTTCCAATCGAATTTACCGCCGCGTTTCCAGCGCCAGCAGCAGCAGCAACAACAGCAGCAATTGCCGCGCGGTGGTCTCGAGAAGAGCGCCTCGGCCAGTAGCGCCTTCGATAGCAGCAACTCCCGCTATCTGCAAAAGGGCGGCAGCGGCAACGGCGGCTCCAGCGGCAGTGGTGGCAGCAGCGCCGGCGGCGGAGGCGGCTCCGGCAGCGGTGTCCGCAGCATCTCAGGCGGCTATGCGCGAGCGGGCAGCGGCAGCGGCAGCTACGGACGCAATCGTCATGACAGTGCCAGAGCAGAGGAGCAGGATGCGACATCAGTGGGCGCAACCAGTGCCCGCGAGCTGGAGCAGTCCAGGTATACGCGTGGCCAGGAGTACCGCAGTGGACAGCAGCAGCAACAGTTGATGCAATCGCGCAGCATCTCGGAGAATTCGCATCGCAAGACGAGCGTCTCCTCCGGCGATGATGTGCTCATGGGCGGTGGCTCCTGCTCGTCCTGGGCGGAGCAAACGGATGCCGAGCAGAAGCATCATCGTCATCGCGAGGAGAGCTTCTCATCCACGCACAGCCACGATTCAGCCGTACAGATTAAGATACTACAGCGGCCAGCGCGTCAGCCCAGCCTCAGCGAGGAGAAGCCCCTCTCAGCGGGCAGCAGCACGCTCCAGAAGCAGCCATTGGAGCCCATGCAGCCCACACAGATATTGAGGCGCAGCGTTGAGCCCGTTGACAAGTCGGAGGAGAAGGCGACCGATCGCGAAGCTGGCGACAAGGGCGCAGAGACGGAGGCGGCCAAGCTGGCTGGATTCTCTGCTGTCAAGGATGATGACAAGGAGGCGTCACGAAACTCAACGGTAGCCTCCACTGCAGCATCCGTCGTGCAGTTTGCGGCTGGCAAGCGTCCCAGTCCACGGGGTGGTCGCGGCGGGCGTGAGGAACTGCACACGTCGAGGGGCGCGGGCAGGAGCTATCCGGCCAGTGGAGCTGGCGGTGGCAGCTATCGCGGACAGCGCAGCAACAGCGACTGGAGCAGTCGCAACAGCGGTGGTGCAGGCAGCGGCGGCCGTCGCTACTACGGCAGCGGAGGTGAGCAGTCCGAGCAATCGGAAGACGTAGAAGAGGATTGTTATAGCAGCAGTGGCGGTGGTGGAGGCGGTGGCGCATCGCGACGCAGTCCAAAAGTGCAGACCCGTTCCGATCAGAGCAGCAACAGCAGTGGCTCTGGTGTGACGGCTGCAGCAGCAGCAGCTGGATCGGCAGCAGGAGCGGGAGCTAACAAGGCGGGCTTTTCGCCAAGAGGCGAGCCCTCGCGCCGCGGACGCGGTGGTCTCTCCAGTGGAGGCAGCTCGACGGCCGGTTTCCGACGACAGCCAGCGAGCGGAGGACGTGCGTATGGCCGATTGGGCTATGAGGAGTACAGCAAGCGGAACTCTGAATCGGAGTCGGGCAATTTGTCGGACCTGGACAAGACCAAGCAGAATCAGATGGCGCTCAGTGCAGGACTGCACAAGGGCAAGGACGAGAAGGAGGAGCTGTTGGCCGACAAGGAGAAGAGTGCCGGCAGCGGCAACGCTACCAGCAACAGCAGCAGCAACAACAACAACAGCAACACCAACACCAACATCGTAAGCAACATTAATATACCCAACACTGCCGTGGCCAAGGAGGAGCCACACAAAGATGGGCCTGCAACGGGCCCAGCGACGGGTGCCGGAACAGTAGGAGCAGCAGGAGCCAGGCCGCCGCCAGGACTGAGCACAGCTGCCGTCGGCGCCACCTCTGCTGGACTGCCTCTACTGGCTGCCCCAGGCAGCGATGCGCCCGGCAAAAAGAAGACTAGCGAATGCACAACAATTGCGCCGTCAGTGGCAGCAATAACGGCAGCAGCCGTTGCATCAGCAACAACGGCGCCAATTGGCGACAAGTCCAAGCTATCGGCCATTGGCGACAAGAGCGCCCTTGGTGTGGGCGTGGTCGGGGCGGGCAATCTATTGTTAGACGCCAATGCTCCCGTAAACACTATAATCTTCGAGAACTCCACGTACAAGCAGCAGCAGCAGCACCAAGCGGCTGCCGCTGTGCCGCTCAAGCCCCAATCCCTTGGAGGAGCAGCGACCGCTGCAGCTGTCGAGAGCCTATCGAGTGCGCTCTCGCAGATGAGCTTTGGCGGAAATGACGATGAGCAACAGCAGCAGGACATGAAATTGGGCTTCAGCTTCAGCGACGATGCTGCCTCGCTCAAGGTGGTGGACAGTTTGGAAGCGGCCAGCAAGGCGGCCTCTCAACAACACCAACAGCAGCAGCAGCAGCAGCAGCAACAACAACAACAACAGCAGCAGCAGCAGCAGCAACAACAACAACAGCAGCAGCAGCAGCAACATCAACAACAGCAGCAAAACAATTCTACGGCGGATCTGAATATGAAAATAGCGAGCGTGAAAAAGGTGTGGGAATCGGCCACGCCCATGTCAGAGACAACTCAGCAGGCAAGCCATGCGGCTAGTGCACAGCAGCAACAGCAGCAGCAACAACAGCAGCAGCAGCAACAACAACAGCAGCAACAGCAGCAGCAACAACATCACCAGCAGCAGCAGCAGCAGCAGCACGCGCAACAGCAACAACAGCAGCATTCTCAACAACAACAACAGCAAGCGGCGGCAGCTGTGGCCGCCGTTGCCCAGCAACAGCACGCGCAACAACAACAATCGCAGCACAGCCAACACGGACAGCAGCAGGTGTCAAACTCAGTGGTGGATGACAGCGGCAGCCACATCAGCGGTGCATCGTTTGTAGCCGCCGTGGCTGCCTCGCAGCAGCAGCTCCACCACCAGCAGATGTCGCACTATGCCGTATCCGCGGTGCACATGCAGGGCCATCACCAGCAGCAGCAGCAACAGCAGCAACAACAACAGCCGTCGCATCACCAGCAGCAGCAGCAGGCACACCATGCTCACCATGCATTGTCCTCGCCGGGACCGGTCTACGGCAGCCACGGATCGCCGTTCGACACCGGTTCGCTGGACCAGCAATTCCAGCAACAGCCGCAGCAGGATGACTATCCCAGCCCACAGCAGCAGCAGCACTCGCAGCAACATCAGCAGGCAGTGAAGGCCAAGCAGCTGCACGCCGGGCTGGGCATGTCACCGCCGCCTAGCCACCAACAGCAGCAGCCGCAGCACTCGCAGCAGCAGCAACATCAGTCTCAGCAGCAGCAACAGTTGCCGTTCTATCAGGCATCGCCACAGTTTGGCGTCGGCGGCATTCCAACGATTCCCAGCCCGCCGGCGGTTGTGTTCAACTCATCGCAGCTGGCGCCGCCGCCGCCGCCATCGCAGGCTGGCAATCTGTACGCTTCATTCCATTCGCTTGATCATTCGAACCGCTCGCCCGCATACTCAGCGGCCGCCGCCGCGGCCCATTGCCTGCCCGGCCACTATGCGGCTGCGGCGGCTGCGGCAGCTGCTGGCGGTGCCTTCAATGCGTACGCCATGCAGACGCCGCATGGCCACGGCGGCAATATGCCCCCGCCGCCAACGGCGCCCACGCCGGACATGTACTCCAATATGCCGTCGCAGTACCGAATCGGCAGCGGTCCCTTTGGCCAGCCGCAGCCCAATTCACAGCAGCTGAACAATCCGAACGCTGCCGCCGTTGCCATCATATCCTCCAACAGCAGTTCCATGATGTCATCGGGCGCGGCCAAGCCGCCGCCGCCCAGTCAGCAGCCCATTGGGGCGATTGGTTCCAAGTCGGCGGGTAGTGGCGGCGGTCCAGGGCCTGGGCCAGGACCTGGACCCGGACCCGGCTCCGGACCATATGCGGGCTACATGAACATATATCCGCCGCATCCCGGACAGGGCGGACCGCCGCCTGGTGCCCATCAGCTGCAGTCGAACAGCTACTACTCGAATTCCGCACCCGGAGGTCCGAGCGGTCCACAGTACTATGGCGGGCCACCTCAGGGCGCTGGGGGCGCGGCCCAGAACTATGGCCTGGCCACCGCGGCCGGCATGTACGGGGGCCATCAGGGCGGGCCGCCCGGCTCCAATGGTCCGCCCGGTCCACAGTCGCAGCACACGATGGGCAACTTCAACACACAGTTTATGAACTCGCAGCTGCTGTCGGCGGCGGGCATGAGCCAGTTCCGAAGTGGCCCGACGCCCGGCGGCGGTTACCTGAAGAACAGCCAGGGCCAGGGACACATGCAGGACTCGGTAAGGAGTGAACCACGACCACTATCAACCACACACACCACACTCTCTAACTACCAAAACATGCCCATGTATAGCCACATGAAGGGCGAGTCTGTCAGCAATTTGTATTAATTATCGTGTGTACGCTTTCGCATCCCGCACCTGCGAACCCCCGCGTTCCCTCAGTTTCATATTTAATCACAGCCAGAGCCTAATACGGGATCGAGATATTTGTCCTTGCACTAAATATCATATAATGTGAATTAATTTAAATAAAAGTATCAAGTAAAAACAGTTTTCACAAACTAGATCCAACAGAAAAACCAAAAAAAATATCTTTCCATAAAGCTGGTGGATAAAGGCCACGTGTTCTTAGGGGGTCGCAGATGCTAGGGGACTCAAATATGTATGAAAGAAACTGAAACTTACCGAATCCGATATCGTAGTCCCATGCTTAAAGATTTGAGAATTGAAAACGAAAAAACAGCGGCACGATTATAATATTACGAGCTCGTTTTTCTTTTTTTTTCACAAATCAGGCCTATTTGACAGGAACTTGGGGTAGACTTGCATAGAAAGTTTTTCACTAAACCGAGATCTGAGACAGACTGGGTAGACTTGCAAAGGAAGTTTTTCACTAAACCGAGATCTGAGACACTGAGGTGGTATTATAGTACTTGGATATATCTTTAATTACATAGGCTTTCGCCCTTTAATGAACGTGGACTTTTTCTCGTAAACCCGCTCACTGTCTCACTCACTCTAGCTGTCGCCTCCTGTCATTTCCGTCCGACTGACGCTTGACAGGCCACTCGATTTAGCAGAGAGAGGGGCTATCCCCCAGGTGTATCGATAATATGCCAAAATTTCGATCAGACAATTGATATGCATATGTGTTTTGGAGTAAGCCTAGTGGAACGTTGACAGGGACATGCCACACACGCGTGGCCCTCGTTCCTCGTTCGTCGTCCGTTGGCCGTTTCATTGTCATCTAATACGTTTCCCATTCCACTTGCAGATGGGCAGGCAACTGAAGAGTCCATTGAGCGCTGACATGAGCCTGGGCCTGGCCAAACAGGGGCAGTCGCAGCCAAGTCCGCCGCATCACAAGAACTATGGCGGCGTAAGTAGCCTTAACTGCAACGGCAACAACAATGGCAGCAGCTCGCAGTCCTCCAACCGATTCACTGATCCTTCTCAATTCTTTCATGTGCAGTGGGACCTGCAGAATCAGGTGCTGCAGCAACAACAGCAGCAGCAGCAGCAGCAACAACAACAACAGCAGCAGCAACAGCAGCAGCAGCAATCTCAGCAGCAGCGGCAGGGTGGCAACGGCAGCAACATGAATGCACTCGGCGGCCGTGGCAGCGGTGCCGTGGGCAGCGGCTCCGCCGGCTCTCAGGTGGTGGGTGGTGGCGGCAACGGTGGCGTTGGCAGCGTGGGGCAAAGCAGCGGCAGTGGTCAGGGTCGATATCCGGCGCCCATTCAGCGGCCAAACAACTATCCACAGCATCCGCAGCAGCAGCAGCAGCAGCAGCAACAGCAGCAACAACAGCAGCAGCAACAACAACAGCAGCAGCAGCAGCGCGAACAGGCAGCGGCAGCGGCGCAGCGCGCCCAAAGCATGCGCCAAGTGACAGGAGGCGGTGCGGCCGGCAGTGCCGGCAATAGTAACGCGCCTGGCGTACCGCCTGGCGCCAACAATGGCGGCAACGGCGGCCCTGGTGGCCCAGGCGGAGCCGGCGGCGGCAACTCGCCCGCAGCGGCAGCGACGGCGCAGCTCAGCAAGCCCTACTATTCAAATAATGCGGCGGGCGCTGGCGGCGCCAACCGTGGTGAGTGGCATGCCAATTGAGCCTACGATTGAGCCAATGGCGCGGCATCGCCCAGTAAACCCCTCGCACACACACAAACACTCACACATACACGCGCATGCAGATACACACACAGACACAACCATACGCAGATATAGATCAACATAGAAAGGCGCGATTCAGCAATGAAAGATTGAAGTGACAAAGCAAGCGAAATATATTTACTTATACATGCATAATACACACTCAGACAGACACACACATACACACACGCACGCATATAGCACTATAAAGAACAACGGTAACAGCAGAGAATGCGAACTATTAGCGAAAGCAACAAACAATGAGAGAAACGAATTAACAAAAAGCGCAAACATAAATAAAACTTTAACAAGAGAAATCGAAAAAATAACAAAATACAAAATGTCAAAAAAAAAAAACTTCAAATATAAAAAAGCTATAAAAAAAAAGTCAAACTAAAAGATACAACATATAAGTATATAGAGCAGAAGAAGAACAAGGACAGCACCTTGATGTCAGAATCAAGAAGAGGGCTAGCCACGCCCACAAAACAAACAATATGATGAAGATAATAATGATAAGAGAGATGAATGCGAAAAATGCGAAAACAAAACAAAACACCACAAAAAAGTGAGAAAAAACACACAGAGTATGAAAAAAGTAATTTATAGTTTAGTTGGGTTACACACATACATAAACTACACAAACGCATACGTATACATATATATATATATATTGGACAAATGGATTGAATCTGCAGTTGCGTTAAAGTTAAAGAAAATAAAGAAAATCAATTGACAAACGCCAATTCCCGAACCCACACACACACGCATAAATACACAAACACATACACAACACACAACACTCGCAAATACACACACACACACACACGAATACAGCAACACAAAAAGTAACAATCAATATTATGCTTTTCATTTATTAAAATATTCATATTAAATCTATTTTATATTATAATTATCATTTTTTTAATGTATTGTGTTAACTTTTAGCGTTTAGTTTATGTTAAAAAAGAAAAGAAAAAAAAACAAAAAAAAAAGAAACAAAAACAAACACAACAGAACGATTATTAAATAGAATGCTGAGTGTATTTTTTGTCAAACAAATTTACAAATACATAAATATACATATAGACACATACATATAAACATACATACACAAACACATGCAAGCATAAATATATATACTTATTATTTTCATTGTAGTCAGCATTTGCTCTTGATTCTATAATAATTTTCTTTTTTCATATATTTTGTATTTTCGTAATTGCGACACACAGATGAGAATCAATTGGACTATAAATAATTGTTAATTATGATTATGCTGCAATTATTTAAATTATAGACATACATTTATATATATATATATATCTCTATATGCATCAATCGAATCGTATATCGCTATCGTTATTGATATCTATGCAGAAAGTGCGACAGAGAGAGAGATAGGAAATCGCATGCTTTGAAGTTTGTTCAAGCGTCAAGTAAAAGAAAGTTAAAGAGAAAACAATTTGTGTATATTCAACACCAAGAATTAATCAACGTCACAAGCGGACTTGCCGGGGCTTCATAAAATACCCTGTTAATTCAATACTACGCACACACATACATACATATGCACAGCCACAAACACGTACATATACAACTCAACTTCGACTTACAAAAGTGTTCACACATGATGGGGCTCGGGTGCCAGCCAGTGCTGCCCATCGCCTTTAATTTACGCTGGCCTGACAACACCTATGTTTATTTGCAAAGTGCAAAACGTTTTCTCACCAATTGATCGCGATTTTAGCCACTCTTAGAGCTTTGAGCGAACAATGATAATGGGGTCTGCGCCAGTGTTGTTGCAGTTGCCGCTGCTGCTACTGCAAAATATCTATAAGTATTAGCCCGCCCCCTGTCGCCCACTGCATCGCAGATCCGTTTTATGATCGGGGCTGGAGTTAAGGGATGAGGGGTTGGGGTAGAAGGGAGGGGAGTGCAAGCTGGTGCTGGCAACTGGAACTGTAATCTTATATAGCATTTTTAATTTTTGTTGCATGTGCTCAAACGAAGATATTGGTCTAGAAAACAAAATAACAAATGGAAAATGATTATGTAACTGTAACTTAACACGGATATAGTATATGCATATACATACATACAAACACGCAATATAGAAAGAAAAACCAAGTAAATATGAAAACACTCCAATTTTTAATGAGAAATCCCAACACCCAGACACACACACACACACACACACACAACTAATATTGATTACACACATATTATGCGATAAAAAGTAGTAGAACAAATATTGAAAGGACAAAACCGATAGATAACAAGCAATTAAAACATACCTTAAATACCTATGCATGTATACATATATATGTATGTACATACATATGTATGCAGATATATGCATAGGAGTACATTTGTATGTATTTTCGCACTTCGCTCGGCTGCTGCTGCTAAAATTCAAATAAAGTTTTAACGCATACACATACGAAATATGTTAATGTTTTGCCAGGGCAAACGGTTTAGTTATTAACAAAAGTAAACAAAAAAAGAAATGAAATCCAAAAGCAGATGCTGATGCTGATGCAAAATGGCCAGCGCTTGCTATTACACAATACATGTAAAAGATATATTTTATAGCTATAGCATAAACATAGAAATGATAAAATTATTAATTTATATATACGTATATATATATATATACATATATATTTTAATTGCATATATGGTTTTTCGTCTCAATCTCTACCAAGCAACAAGTCAAGTACATGGGCATATAATACATACATACACGTACATATATGTAAACCATTTTTACATTCGATTCATTCAAATTAATTTTTAGACATACTGAAATTTCGAAAAACTGAGCTAAAAAAATTAAAAAATTAAAAAAAAAAAAAAACAAAAACAACAAACCTTAAAAGATAAAAAAAAAAAAACAAACCCAAAATGGAACATTTAAAGCAAGTTCGATTAAATGAAATAAAAACTTTAAATAAATAAAATATTTAAAACCAAATAATACCAAAACCGTATTTGCAAATTTGCGATTATTCAACTTCATCGAGTGATGAAAAGCTTTACCATGATCTGGCAACCATTTAGAGCGAGAAGTATGCTAAACTGCAAGCACGAGTAAGATAGCCTGCATGTCGTTGCGAAGAAGGACAGAAGAGAACAAGTAATACATTAACAGAGCGCTAGACAGGCCTGTTATAATATTTTGCTCCTTACGTTGCAAGGACTGCTATTGCATATACATACATATGTATGTATGTATCTTGCCCTAGTCTGTCCATAGACTGCATACCCTGATGACCGTTGTTGATGCCAAAGTAGAAATATTTGTAATAATTGCATATGGAGAGCATGCCGGCGTCGTTATTGCATATGCATGGGTCGCCGTCAGGTGCAATGCTTGCCGCCTGCAGGTGAACGAAGGCCATGTGAAGTGCGTGATGCATATATTTTGCAAACACGCCTGTTAACATTACATAATGAAATGCAGTGAGCTTTCCGTGTACTAGATTTTTAAATTGTTTATTCCTTTAAGATGTTGCACTACACATATGTAAAATATACATGGCTCCTGCACCTGCCGCCAGTTACTGGAAGCCAGGAGCCCGAGTACGTCTAATAGGCTGCACAAATTAGAGTACGTCATCTACTTCTTCTTTGGCTTCAGGATCTGGTAAGCGATGAGCAGGCCCATGACTGCGTAAGTAGCCTTGGCCACCTGCAACATGTTACGACAAGCGTATTAGTGGTCAATACCTGAAAGTAGTTGCTAGATATTAGATGTTGGATGGAATCCACTTACATTGGCACGGCCGGACATAGTATTGCCATTGAAGATTTTGGACAAGCCGGTCAGTTTCTCTTGTTCACCAGCCATTGCTATAATCGTTATGCAAATATTGAATTTGAATTTGAAGTAATTTAGTAGGAGTTGTTGCTGCGTTAACTCACTTTCAGTTTGTTTTGTGACGAGTTGAAACTACTTCAATTGCCAATAAAAAAGACGAATAGGTTATACAACTGTGCCTGAGCTGCCACTACGTGCGAATGGCGTACTGCGTTGCCACCTAACGCAACAAATTTATCGTAATGGATGCATCATTGCATGAACTATCGATAAGTGCTATCGCAGGCGCCAAATTTAATACGTGTAAATACAAATAGAAAATGAAAAGAGAAATGAAAACATGTTCACCGCATATACATATTAATGGCTAATAGCAGTTGCACTAATTGCATAGCTTGCATAGCAAACAGCACACAAGTCAAATGTCAATGGCAGCTTTCGCAAATCTCACCTAATTGCAAGGATTAAGTGCTTATAATACACTCATTAAAATTATATAGGGCAGCCTGAGAACCGGCGCAAGTGAAAAGAAATGCTGGGCGTAAATAACAAAGCGCAGCCATCAAGCGTTGTCATCAAAGCTGCCCTGTTGAATAGCTCGGATATCTCTTTCGCTCGAAAATGGCATAGACTGCAAGCATATTAAATTAAAGGCCCGCCCGCACCTCCAAGGTGCTAGACAATAAATTCCATGTTTTCGACGGCCGGCTACAGCGTCCACAATTAAGGTCGCACTGTCAACTGGTTGCCCCGCCCACATTCAAGTGGTGTTGTGCCGACTATAAAAGTCCTCAACATGCAGCCAGCTGTACGAATCAACTGCAGTCATGGATGCGGCCTACTTTCTTCGCGTGCAGACCCTGACATTTCGGATGATGGGCTTCGACTTGTGGGAGAGCGGCAGCAAAAACGATCGTCCGCAGATAACATTTGTGGTAATGATCCTGTCGATCGCGTTTCTGGCGCCGCTGCTCTTCTCCACAGTGATTAACGTGACCATCGTGAGCATCATGAGCGACGCCTTGGGCTCGGTGCTGGCCATCGTTGTGTCCGTGGTCAAGTACTTGGTATTTGTCTACCATCGCAAGAGCTTTGTGCATCTGATCTATCGCATACGCGACATACTAGAGAAGGGTAAGTGATGCTGTCAAATTGGTTTTTGTTTTTATACCCTGTTTTTTTATTGATCTCCCTCTAATTCGTTGTGCTGCAGAGATGCGAGCATTGCCGGAGATAATTCCCATTGTGGAGATGGAGAATCGCAACGATCAATCGCTGAGTCTGACATACATGCGCTGCTTCTTTGCCGCATGCGTCTTCGCTGGGGTCAAGCCGGTCATAATCATGCTGACGCTGCGGCTACGAACGGGTCACACTCACCTGGAGCTGCCGCACGCGGGCGTCTATCCGTGGAGCGACCAGGCGTTGCTGCCCTATGTGCCCACTTACCTGTGGAACCTGATGGCCAGCTATGGCGCCGTGACCATGTCCCTGGCAATGGACACACTGCTCTTTGCCTTCACATACAATGTGTGCGCCCTGTTCAAGATTGCCCAATATCGCGTTCGGCATTTGCAGCCCATCAGCGATGCGCCGCGCCGCGAGCTAGACGAACTGGTGCGGGTGCTGCAGCTGCATCAGACCGGCCTGGATATTGGCACCCAGCTGGGCCACAGCCTGCGACCGCTGGTGTTCATACAGTTCCTTGTGTCGGCTGTGCAGCTCTGCTTTGTTGGCTTCCAGCTGGCCGACCTGTTCCCCACCCTGGAGTGCATATACTTTATCTTCTTTCTCGGCTCGATTGTTATAGCCCTGTTCATATATTCGCACTGCGGCGAGAACATGAGGCAGGCCAGCGTCGACTTCGGCACGGCCCTCTACGACAGCAGCTGGGTGGACTTTGCGCCGGCGACCAGGCAGGCGCTCATCGTGGCCATAATGCGCGCTCAGCTCCCTTGCCAGCTGAACGGCTACTTCTTCGAGCCCAACATGGCCAACTTTTCAGCGGTGCGTAGCCCCAAAAATCTGGAGTTCAGCAATATCTGCAAAGTCTATTTTTCAGGTGGTTCGCTCGGCCATTTCATACGTCATGATGTTGCGCTCCTTCAATGGCTAGCCAGGAGCCACGATCTTCTCCTGTTTGCCTGCGTTTATTTTGGTTATTAATTATGGCAAATAAATTTATAGATTCTGCTCTTTAAAATGGGTAATTGAAATATTATCGAGCACAGGGATTATTAATAGACACTTGAGGCTTCTCGTACGCCCTGCCACTGCATGGCATGTGCCGAGGACGAGATTGCAGCAAGTAATTTGCAAAGTACAACAGGACTCAAATTTCACAGATTCCATACAGCTGCAACAGACTAATGCCAGCAGGCGGCTGCCATAATGCGACCAAGGTGCGCTAACCGTTTTCATTAGCAGCGGGCTATCATTGTTGGGCAGATGCAGCAGGTGCAGCAGGTGCAGCAGTTGCTTTCAAATATCAAGTATACGTCCAGGCGTGGCCAGTGCTAATTGAAGTGCAAGTCGCATCATTTGAGAGCTTTATTAAATATTCAACTTTGATGCCAAACGAACTGTAAAATTCAACAGGCAATAGGCAATAGGCAACAGGCCTATAATTCGATTTCCTATGCCAGATAGATGCCCTACCGCGTCCGCCTCCTCGAACGTGACATCTGCGTTCTCGCCAGACTTGGCCACAATTTCTGCTGTGTTGGCCATAGTCGGCTATGCCCGTGCCATGCATTTAATTATGCTCTTTTGTGCCCAGCTGTGCATTGCCATTGCTGGCTCTTTCAATTGTCACCGGCCAACAGCAGCAGCCAGGAAGGAGCCGGGGCCGGGCTTTGTTACCTGTTACCTGTTGAAAGCATTGTCGGCACGCACTAAGTAAGCCACTGTCGAAAACTTTGTTCACTGCCAACTCAATTAGTGCTCCATAAATAACCGAAATAAATCCAACGGTTGCCCTCGCTCCCGGCCCCTGCTATTGCTCCTGCGTCCTGCTGCTCTCATTGCTGTCTAGTCAAGTAGTATATGAAATATGAGCTATTGTTTTTGCCAATGCCATTGTAATTGCGGCTGCTGCTGCAGTTGATGTTGTTGTTGATCCTGCTGCTGCTGTTGGTTGGATCTGTTGTTGTTGCTGCGGCTGCTGTTACTGTTGTGTTGCTCCTGCTGCTGCTGCTGCGAATTGTTGTTGTTGTTGTTGCTGCTGCTGTTGCTACTGCTTCTGTTAGTAACTGCTCCTGCTGTCGCTGCTGCTAATTGTTGTTGTTGCTGCTGCTGCTGTTAGTTGCTGCTCCTCCTGCTGCAGTTAGTTGCTGTTGTTGTTGTTGCTGCTGCTGTTGCTGCTGCTGCTGTTAGTTGCTGCTCCTGCTGTCGCTGCTGCTAATTGTTGTTGTTGTTGCTGCTGTTAGTTGCTGCTCCTCCTGCTGCTGCTAATTGTTGTTGTTGTTGTTGTTGCTGCTGCTGCTGTTAGTTGCTGCTCCTGCTGTTGCTATTGCTAATTGTTGCTGTTGTTGTTGCTGCTCCTGCTGCTGCTGCTGCTAATTCTTGTTGTTGCTGATGCTGCTGTTAGTTACTGCTCCTCCTGCTGTTGTTGTTGCTGCTGCTGCAGTTGATAGCTGCTGCTGTTGTTGCTGCTGCTGTTGCTGCTGCTGTTGCTACTGCTGCTGTTAGTTGCTGCTGTCGTTGTTGCTCCTCCTGCTGCTGCTGCTAGTTGTTGCTGCTGTTGCTGCTGTTTTTGTTGTTGCTCCTCTTGTTGCTGCTGCTCAGTTGTCTGTGGACGAAAGCGTGTGTCAAACACTAAAAAGCCATGCAATCAGAGTATTAAAATGCATGCCAGCTTTTGCGCCTTGATGCTGTTGCATTTGCAGTTGCAGTTGCTGCTGCAACGCCTCTTGCATATGCAATGCAGCCATATGCGGGCGACATATTGTAGATGCAAATTGGCCAAAACTGAAATGTCCTGTTTTTCTATAATATGCCTTGATTCCCTGTAAAATTGGCACTGTCTAAAATGCACTTATTCTACCTCTCCCTCTCTCTCTCTCTCTTTGTAAAATTAAATTCAAAGTTGGCAAAGTTTGCATTAATTAAAGAGACACGCAAGTATCGCTCGGATTTACTTAAGCCATTGCAATGCCGTGTTGCCATAGTAAATATTTGACCTTTTTCTTTGCTCACACACGCACATACAACAAGAGCAACAACAATAACAACAACAACAATAACAACAACAGCAGCTCTCTTCAATGCATGTTGCACTGCGCGTACCAGGGCTGCCAGCTTAGCTTATTTCACGCTAGATCTAGCATCTATTTGTAAATAGCCTAGGAATGAATCTACATACATAGCATATTTTCAACTTCATAAGCCACGAGAAAAGAAATACGAAAGTTAATTTAATTTCACTTTATATTTATTTTAATCGGCGTTATAGCCTTGCCTCAAACTGTGACTTCGTGTGTAACTAAAGTTGTCTCAGACTGTGTTTATGGTATAAGGAACTTATAACCATGAAGAACTGAACTTAAGACTTAACTACTCTCACTACTACATACTTAAAATGGTTCAACTTGAATAACAGCCACACCGCATTCTTCCCTTGCGAAGTCATTACACCCATCTATAGGTCATAGTCTTCTTTCATACCAATTGTTTATCAAATATTACATCTACTATATCGTTAATTGTGAATTGTTAGTCTTTCAGAGCTTTTACAAATTTCTTCTTCAAATGAAGCCCAAAATTGTACTGTAATAAAAATCTACTTACATATATTTCGATTCAATTTTAAGCTACGTACCTATGGGTATATTTCCATATACGTGTTTATAAAAAAAATAAAAATAAAAATAGGAAAAAATAAATAAAAATTAAATTAAATTTTAAGCTATACCTTTTAGGTGAAAACTGCTTTAGAATTGTAATGTAATTCTATTAGATGATAAAGGGATAAGGGAAGTACATACTTTATTAGAAATGTAACATGTACAAGCTACAGTTGCAAGGGTCAAAGTAAATTATTTGTGTGTGTGTGTGTGAGGAACCCGTTATTTAGCTAGTGCCATATATGTATATGACTTTTTTTTCTGTATCTATTTATCTAAGCATCGAATCCTTAGATTATTTATTTATATTACTTAGAGAATAAGATAAAGAGCCTAACTTTCGATCGTAGATATATGACTATATCTATGCATATATTGTAAAACAGCATATCACTGAAACCAATATAAGAATTAACAAGTTTACAATTATTTGCGGCATACAAATAAATATATTTTTAATAATGTCATATAAATTAATTCAAACATTTGCTATTTGCATTTATTCATACATTTGGTTTTTTATACCCTGAACCCATTGAAAATGGGAAATCAGGGTATAATGGTTTTGTGAAAAAGTATGTAACGGGCAGAAGGAGGCGTGGCAGACCCCATAAAGTATATATATTCTTGATCAGCGCGATGAGCTGAGTCGATATAGCCCTGTCCGTCTGTCCGTCCGTCCGTCCGTCCGTCCGTCCGTCCGTCCGTCCGTCCGTATGAGTGCGTCGATCTCAGAAGTTATAAGAGCTAGAAAGCTGAAATTTGGCATGCATACTCGTGTATACCATACGCAGTACGAGTTTGCTTTATTTTTTCGATAAATCATCCGATAACTTTTTTATCGAGAATAATCGAAAAATTGATTTTGTTTTTTTAGCCTAATTTGAACACTTTCAGACCTAGAGTCTTTAAATTTGCGTTGTATATAAAGTTAATCGATACAAAGATTTTGTAATTTACAGATTTTGGATACCACGCCCTCTTCTCCCCCAATTTGTAAAAAACGCATTTCAAGTACTAGAGACTTGTGCTTTGGAATGTACACACATATTCACCATATGATTACGCTCTAAAAGTTTCATTAAGATCGTATATCTACAAAAGAAATTATTTAACAAATAAATTCTCATAATATTGCCCACACTGCAGCGCAGCCCAAGCGCAGTCGCTGCTTACTGCGCAGTTAGCAGAGCGCAGGCTTATGCGTGCGTGTGGATGCATGTGTATGTATGTGTGCATAAAAGAAGTGCAGAATGATTAGAATATCAGCTTAGAGGGTTCAGGGTATCTCCTAGTCGAGCAGTCTCGACTAGAGTCTTCTTACTTGTTTTTTCTGCTTTTGCAATTTCTGTTCTTTAGTGCAGTAGCTGTAATTGGTAATTTAAAAATGTATTACCAAATAGAAATTGCAAAATGAAATGAAATGGAAAACACTGTCAGCAAATATATGAATACATTATTATGTATGCATTTGGGCTCAAATTCCTATTATTATCAATCAATTCAAGCAAAAAAAGGTAATTTGAAATTGTATTATTTGTGGTTTTTTTCTGCAAGTTTTCTTCGCTTTTAATAAAGCTTGCTGTCCAGCATTTACTTTTAGATTTAAGCCTATTTTAGCTCAACAACTAGTAGCAGTGATGCAGACTTGATTCACTTGGATTGTCAAAATCCTAATGAAATCAACTAAAAAAATATATATATATATCTTTGGCAATCGAAAGCAAAGATAACAGGTCGAATGTGCATAGAGCCAACTAATCAAGGCCCAGTATTTTCGCTCCTCAGAGCTGCCACATTGAGAGGAAAGTTGCCCTCCTCCTGCTGCCGTTGCCATTGCCGAATTTGGGATTGCTCGATGCACTCGTATTGGGCCGTTGCCATCGCCGTTCCAATCTCAATTTGCGGTTTCCATCTCCGCTGCTGGCAATTCTGGGTGCGAACAGCAGGACATTGGGCCGCCTCTGTAGCCGCAGGAGTCATTGCTGTGCAACAGCATCCAATAGCAATCAGAGCCTATTATGGTAATTAGTTGAATATTTATCAACAATAATTTGATTCTCTAATTGGATTAGCAAACAAAAGACGATTCGCTGCAAGCATTTGGCCGTCGCAGCAGCTGAGCTGCTCGAGTTATGTATGTATGTTTACCGCTAACCTTTGTGCACCTGTCTAACAGTCAATTAAATTTAATATCCGAGGCATTCAAGTCGCTCTGCACAGCGATTGTGAGGTGCATTTTGGCAAACAAAGTTAATTAGGCTTTTATTTCACTTAACAGGCGAATGCGAGTGGGATTGATAGACGGAC